TTTTGAAGTTATTTCCTGTATTGGATATTAGGTCATGTGTTTTGTTTGTTGGTGGCTGTGTTTGTGCTAGAGGTTGGAACCGGTTTTAATAATTCGGGTTTATCACATGAATTTGGTGATATTTTAGAATTTAATCCAATTAAAATTTAATAAATTCTAAAATATCACCAAATTCACGTGATAAACCTGAATTATTAAAACCGGTTCCAACCTCTATGCTAATTGTATCCATTGAATAACAGTATTTTGAACTTCAAGTCGTACTTGTAGGTTGTCACAAGGTAAATAAACTGAAATAATTCTGAATCGAAAGTCATGTTTAAAAAGAATGTCAGTTGCAACTGCATATCCAGGAAAAGTAAGTATCTTGTGGACATGTGGTTTAAGCCAGTTTCTTAACATAATTGCAGTGCCTGCTTTTGTACTATCTGTACAAGACCAGTAGTAGGTGAAATTTCTAGATTTTTGGAGTTTAATTCAAGCATTTTCCTGTGAAATCTTGGATTCTGTTATACTTATGATATTAAGATTATTAGAAAGACAGTAGTTTTCCCCAAACTTGTTGCTTAAGGTCTGTGTTGTATCCTCGGACATTGTGAATACAAATAGACAAGTTGAGAGGTTGGTCTTGATTGTTGTTTGGATGTTCAGAAGTAGATGGAGTAGAGAGAAAAGTAGATGTGTTTGGTTTAGATCTTAATGGAATGTTAGCTGAATCATATAATATAGAGAAAATATGATGGTTTGGTAATATGTCAGAATCTTCAGGATGGCAAGTTAAATTAATATCGATTGTAAATATAGCAAACGATTTAGTTAAAATTCATAAAGCTGGATACACACACAATGACCTTCATAGCGGTAATATTTTGATAAATAAACACATTAGCGGACATAGAGTTTCCTATGTTGCAGATTTAGGATTATCCAAAAATAAAGGTGAAAATTCTTCAGAAATTTACGGAGTAATGCCATATATTGCTCCAGAAGTTTTAAAGGGCAATAAATATACACAAGAAGCTGACATTTACAGTTTTGGTATCATTATGTCAGAATTATCAACTGAAACTAAACCTTTTAATGGATATCGATTTGATACTGAACTTGCACTAAAAATTATTGATGGGTTGAGACCAGAATTTACTGATATAGTACCTGACTGTTTTATTAAATTGGCTAAACAATGCATGAGTCCGATTCCACAAGAACGTCCTACTGCTGAAGTGATTTTTTTAAAACTTTATGAATGGTGGAAACTTATTATGGATTCTGAAGAATCACATAAAATGTTTATATAAAAGAAAAATTCTTAAAAGCTGATGCGAAGAAAAAGGAATTATTAAACAATAATATACCTTTACCGCCATTTTCCAACGATAAATATGTTAGTAAAACTATTGATGCCAGTAATACAAATCCCAAAAGGGTATCTAAAGACATTTAGCCAAATGACTATAAATTAACCAATCGAGTCAAACTTTATTTGCACGGATCAGCCCAAAGTTAAAAATAAAGAAAATGCAAAAAACATGAAAATGGCAATCCAAACCTGTTTTGGAGCACTAATAAAAATGTCGAAAGGCAGTTTTATCTATGTACCTTTTTTCACCCAAACACTAATACTAATTCTAATTTTACCAAAATTCAGCAAACCACACATCTGAGATTAGGTGTAACGTAAGCAAAGTCTAAAAAATTAAAAAAATCGCTTGTCCTGTTTAAATATGAAACCAGGTTCTATGCCCTAATTAAAGGTATTCCTCGTGAGATTTTACTACATAACCTTCACCAGTACTATCACACAAAGCGATTTGTTTTAGCCAAATTTGATTGGGCGTACTATGTAATTTAGTGTTTTCCAATTTTAATTAAAACCTAAAATCACGTAGGTTCATGTAGTCATCCCCATACTTATTTGTGATGGCCTTTTCTGTAGTGGTTTATATTAAGTGCCCTCCGGATAATCAAACTGTCATCTTAATTTATCGGCAAAAAATGACTTTAAAATTTTTTGACAGCTATCAAATAATTCTTGATGAATCTCCCAATATCAAAACACTTCTGGCGCATTTAGCAGTTTTAAAATGTAGGTTATTATATTTTCGTAATTAATTGGAAAATATTAATAGAGATGACAATATTAAAACAGTTAATATAAAAAATATTACTATTCAACAGAGCATGATGGAAAGTCGTTTTGATTGGCCAACGTGATACAATTGATGTAGATTGTTACACAAATTATTTATATTAGTTTTAGAGTACTCGCTATATGAAAATGTAATCGTCTATATGACAAGTGGCTAAGCACGTTACCTATGGTCAAATAATTTTCAGAAAACGTTGGTTTTTCGCTTTACTAGCAGTTAGCAAATTTAATCCCATATAATCCCATTCCCGGAAAACTTTTACTA